ATGGCCCTACAGTCTTATAGCCTTATAGCCCTATAGCCCTATATATCCCTATAGCCCTATAGCCCTATAGCTCTAAAGCCCCATAGCCCAATAGCCCAATTGCCTCATAGCCCTATAGCCCAATAGCCCTATTGCCTTATATCCCTACAGCCCTATAACCCTATAGCTCCATCGCCCTATAGCCCTATAGCCCCATAGACCTATTCCCATAGCCTTATGTATAGCCCTACAGCCCTATAGCCCTATAGCCCCAAGCCCTACAGCCCTATTAGCCCTGTAGCCCTGCAGCCCTGGGGCAACTACAAAGAGATCTCATGTAAGATCAAATTAGACTCTGATTTGGTTCGTTCTCCAATATCATATGGTTAGGTGAGTTGGGCCGCCGAGTTCGGTGGCCGGCCCTGGTGTCCGGGTGCCTGGGTGCCCGGGCGCCAGGGTGCCTGGGAGTGCCCGGGTGCCCAGGTGCCCAGGCGTGCCCGGAAGTGCCCAGGGGTGCCTGAAGGTGCCCGGAAGTGCCCGGGTGCCGGGGTGCTCTATCGCCGCATAGCCCTATAGCCCTATAGCCCTATAGCCACATAGCCACATAGCCCTATAGACCAATAGCCCTATAGCCCGATAGCCCTATAGCCCAATAGCCCAATAGCCCTATAGTTCTATAGCCCTATAGCCCAATAGCCCTATCGCCCTATAGCCCTATAGCACTAATAGGCCTATAGGCCTAGAGCCCTATAGCCCTATAGCCCTATAGACCTATAGCCCTATAGCCCTATAGCTCTATGGCCCTATAGCCCAATAGCCGAATAGCCCAATAGCCCCACATAGCCCTATAGCTCCTTAGCCCTATACCACTACAGACCTATAGCCCCAAAACCCTATAGACCTATAGCCCTATAGCTCTATAGCCGTTTCGCCCAATAGCCGAATAGCCCAATAGTCACTATAACCCTATAGCTCTTTAGCCGAATAGCCCAATAGCCCCTATAGCCCTATAGCTCTTTAGCCCTATAGCACCGTAGCCCTGAAACACATACGAAGAGATCCCATGTAAAATCAAAAAAAGACTCTCATTTGGGCTTTTCTCTGGTATCATATGCTTTTCTATGTTTCTGGGACGCTCGATTTTGAAATACCTACGAAACCTAAGATTTTTGAGGGATCTGGGCATGCGCGCGCGACGACGCGCGCGTGAGCACTGCGTCCCATTGTTTGCAAGGCATTCTTGCGATAACACGCGCGAAAGGGCGGTCGAGCGATTCTGACATGCGCGCGCGAGAGGCCCGATCAGTAACATGCGATGCAAATATTGAAAAAAACATGGTTTTGTTACGATTCCGAAGAGCCCAAACGCAAGCTTTTGTTTGAAAACCCGCATTGCGAAATCATGTGTTTTTTCTATGTTTCGGGGGCACTCGATTTTTTGATACCTGCAAAAACCTATGATTTTAGAAAGATCTCGACATGCGCGCGGGACAACACGCGCGTGTGCACTTCGTCCCATTCTTTGCAAGGCATTATTGCGACAGCACGCGCGTGAGGACTTTCGAGCGACTTCGACATGCGCGCGCGAGAGGCCCGTTCGGTAACATGGCATGCAAAGGTTGAAAGCAACTGTTGCTTAACAGAAGAAGGAAGTCTAAAGAGCCCGAGTGCAAGCTTCTTGTGAAAACCTTGGTTGCGAAGCCATATGTTTTGCATGCTTCTTGGAACTTGATTTTGAAATGCCTACGACACCGAAGGTTTTGAAGGATCCCAGCATGCGCGCACGACGACGCGCGCGTGTGCACTTCGTCCCATTGTTTGCAACGAACTATTGCGACTGCACGCGCGAAAGGACTTTCGAACAATTTCGACATGCGCGCGCGAGAGGTCCGTTTGGTAACATGAAAGAAAATATTGGAAACAGCAATGGTTTCCAGAATTCTGAAGAGCCCGAGCGCAAGCTTGTTTTGAAAGTCCATGTTGCGAAACCATTTGTTGTTATCTGTTTTCGGGCCACTCGATTTTGAAATACCTACGAGAAGGACTTCGACATGCGCACGCGACGACGTGCGCGCGTGCACTTCGTTGTAAAGGATTAGTGGGAACTGCTAATGTGCGATAAACGGATGCGCGCGTAGTATTCTTTGCGAAGGATGAGGGGGGGTACCGGTGTAGTTGGGATGATACGAGTTCATCTTTAGGATGGACGATGGGGCAGAATCGTACGCAAGGTGCAGCACGCGAAGGGGAATTGGTAGGTCCGGGAGGGGAGGGGGGGGAGATCCGAATACTCTTTCAGAAATGAGGACGCACGTGGTGCTGTATACATGTGCCGCAAGCTGCGCAGTGCAGGGCAACGCAAAACAATGCAATGCAAGGCAACGCAAAACAATGCAGTGCAATGCAGTGCAATGCAATGCAATGCAATGCGAAGCAATGCGAAGCAAGGTAGAGGCGACGAGGCGGCGACGGCGGCCACATGGCGGCCAGGGCGGCCCGCAGGCACGGGCGACGGGCGGCGACGGGCGGCGGCGAGGCGGCGGCGAGGCGGCGGCGAGGCGGCGACGAGGCGGCCACATGGCGGCCACAGGGCGGCCCGCGGGCCCTGGCGACGGGCGCTTCGAGGGGCGGCGACGGGGGCCTACGTGGCGGCCAGAGCGGCCCGCGGGCCCAATTCCGTGCAAAAAAAAAAAAAAAAAATACTCCAGATTTCGTAACAAAAGGGAGGGGGGTCTCATTTCGGGGGGGGGTCTCTTCCAGGCTATCTTGGGGGGCCTGGGGGGGGTCTGGGGACGATGTTTGGGAGGGTTCTCCCACGGGGGGGGGTCTGAAATGGCTCGTCTTGGAGGGTCCAGACCCCCTCCCTGTTACTACGAAAACTGGAGTAGCCATCGGTCGGAAGCAGGTAGAAACAGGAAGCGGGAAGGCGCTGAAAGCAGGTTGGGCTCCGTCCGCCCCCGAAGGAGGACGGAAAGGGTGAAGGCACTCGATCACTGAAGCAGGAAGGCGCTCAGCGTAGACTGGAATCTGGGGATCCAAGAACGCTTACCTTCAACGGAGTGCAGGGCCGCACTGCTTGGGCCCCACGCTGGTAGACACGTTCACGGAGAGCGCGAGGCCAGAACTTGCCCGTGGGAGCGTTTGTCTGATTCTGCGCTTCGACATTGGGCGGCAAGGGGGGTGGGGAGGGGGGGGTCTGGCTCCAGACTTCTGCATAGTGCGACTGCTTCATGGAGTCTGGCCTCTGGGGGAGGGACTCCACCTGCTCCAAACAGGCGACCAAAAACAGCCAAGATCTACTCCATGGGGAGGGAGGGGTTTGGTGGCCCGCGCCGATGGACAAAACAATGCAGAAAAAAACGATCACCATTCACACCGACCGTGGAGCCGATCTCGTGGAACCCCCGGGGGGCGGTGGACGTGGACCTGTTCGGGCTCTGGGGGGCCTGCGCATAGATACATCTATATATATATATACATCTGTATATACATCGGTATGTATGTATATATATATACATACATGTAAATATGTATTATGTATGTCTTCCTTGTGTAAAACTCTGTTTGCTACAGGCTTATGTATATATAATATGTCTGCATATTTGTGTACACACATCCATCGCCTGCCAGGGTCCAGGAAGACCGGCTCCCAACGCGGTGGGCGTGTGTGCCGCTCCAAAGCCCTGAGCCCGACACAGGTGTCGCCACTTCTTTGAAGGGGGCCCATGAGCACAAAAAAAGAAATAGGCACAACAAAAACTCAGGATTCCCCAGACTTCCCATATATGTATATATATATATATGTATATGTATATATATATATATATATGGATTCCTGATCGTTGCCTTCCCCTCTACTCCCGGTATGTTTGCTGCATCTTCCCAGGCATCGACGCTTATGTCTATCTGTGCGTGTTGCCCCCTCCTGATCCTTGGTTGAGCAGGGACCGACCGTCCCGGCATTCCTATAGGCCTGCCCAGACATGTTCTTAGAACCAAAGATGTTCGAAACACAAAAAAAGTGATCTCAGAACATAAAGCCGACGTGCTAAAACAAGACAGCACTCAGCCAGAAATGCTCTATAGAACATTTGGTGCAGACCACAGAAGGCTTCTTAGAGCATTATTTGGGTGGGCCTATGGGTAAGCCAGGACGCCTCGCTACGGCTTAACTCGGGGGGGCAAGGGTGCAAGGGTACCCTTGTGAAGGCGGCCCATCCTTAAGTATTATGCGGATTGATTGCACTCCCGATATGTTTGATGGATCTCCCTGAGTATCGACGTTTATTCTCGGGGGCGCGCAAACATGGATTAGAGATCCATGGATTTGGCGCGCGGTCGCCGAATGCATGGATCTGGTGCCTCCTCGTTCGGCGGCGGAAGCACGGGATCCCCCATGGAAGCTGGACCCGTCGCGGATCCACGCCCCCTTGATGCATGCTTGCGATCGCATGATACTTGTGTCCGTGCGGTCTTGCTCCCCTTAGAGTTAGAGTTAGAGTCAGAGTTAGAGTTAGAGTTAGAGGGGGGGTTAGGTGGGGGGGTAGGGGGGGGGTAGGGGGGATCTACTTTTTCCTGGGTGGGTTAGGCTGGGGGGGGTAGGGGGGGGGGTAGGGGGGACCCTTGGGGGGCGCACGCTTGACTCTCGCCGGTGCCCGCCCAGGCCCTCCGCCCGCCTCCCGGGGGGGGCGGGCCCATCGGCCGCTCCCTGCCTCCGCCGCACCGCCTTTTGTCCCGCCGCCCTCCGCCGCCGCGCGCTGGACGCCCCTCCCCCCTCCCCTCCCCCCTCCCCTCCCCATCCCCTCCCTACCCTCCATCCCTCCCTCCCCCCCCTCCCCATCCCCTCCCCTCCCCTCCCTCCCCCTCCCTCCCTACCCTCATCCCTCCCCCATCCCCTCCCTCCCCCTCTCCGCCCCTTCCCCTCCCCCTCCCCTCCCCATCCCCCCCCCTCCCCTCCCCTCCCCTCCCCGTCCCGCCCATCCCCCCTCCCTTTCCCCTCCTCCCTCCCCTCCCCTCCCTACCATCCATCCCTTCGCTTCGATGCCTTCGATGCCGCGGGAGGGGAGCGGCCCGTGGCCAGACCCCCTCGGACAAAATAGAAACACTGAACAAAAATCCTATCCTACCGTCCCCCCAGGGCGCGCTTGCCGGTTGGCTGGGCGCGAAACGATCTGGGAGGAGGGGTAGGAAAACGAACTCGGACGCTCGGGGTGGAGGGGCCAGGGGACCGAGAGCTCGAACTTCCCTCCTCCTGGCAACTCTCTCCGCTTGAGCTTCCTGAGATCCCGATTCTTGAAATCGGGAGAGCATGCAGAGTTCTTTGAACCTACGAGCCTTCTGCGACGCAACGGCCCCACAGCTCATGCAGCAGATGACTGGCAACCCCGAGGGCACGCTGGCAGCCCAGAGGCTATGCTCATACAGTCGGGGCGCTGACCTAAGGAACCTCAAATAAGGAACGAGGCCCCTTTTCTCCAGAAGCTCAATCTCGATTTCCTGTCGAAAACATAAGGAAAGCCTGAGGCAAGCTGTGAAACACGTAAGGAGCGCGGAGCCCCTCCCCAACGAAAGGGGTTCCTTCTTCAGGGCCCCGACTGAACCCTGGCCTGGTCGCAGCATCCATCACCTCCTGTAGCGAGGGGGCGCAGCGGAGACGACTGGCTGCACGAGCAGCGCTCCTCCGAAGACCCCGCGCCCGCCGCGGGCACCCGCGGCCTGCCCCACGAGCGCAGCACGCAGCACCCTCGGTGGCAACTCATGGGAGCCTCCCCTGCCTATCTTGCTGGCTCTTGCGAATCGGCGCTACGCCGACGCGAACTCGACGCGAATCGACGCGGACCGACGCCACACGGGTGCCATCGCATCGACTCTCTAAGACGCTGCTCGACGCCAGCCGACGCGAACGACGGAAAGACGAGGGCATACCAGGCTCACATGATTGGCTACCGAACAGCACCCCCTCCTCCTCGGCTATGTCGGCTACACGGAAGAGTGACGGGAAGGGGGGGGGGGCAGGCGGGGGGGGGGGCAACGGCAGCGGCGGCCGCGGCGTGCACCCGCCAGGGTAGCTCCGCGCCACCAGCACGTACATCGCTCGTGTGCACAGCAGCCCCTTGTGTACACGACGGTGCCCAATGCCTGCGCGCCAGTCCCTGTGTCCACGACAATGCCTGATGCCCACGTGCAACACAACGCCGCCTGCATGCACCACAGTGCCTGCGTGCACTACAGCAGCCGCGCACACCACAGCGCCACGTCGCCCGTGTACACCACAGTGCCCGTGTACATTGCAGCAGCCACGTGCGAAGCAGCGCACATGTGCACCGTAGTGCCTGAATGCTTGTGTATACCACAGCGCCTGTCTACACCACAACAACCATGTGTACCACAGCGCCTGTGCACACCACTCTGCTCCCGTGCACCATAACGCCTGTGTGGACACCATAACGCCAAATGTGCCAGAAGGCACACTATAGGTTTGCGAGCACCGTGCTGCGCTTGTGAGCACCAATGCGCCTGGGGCCACCACATGGCGGAATTGCTGGCGCTAGCCTCTTACGCGAATGCTGGCAACAGCAAGAGCTGGAAAAGGACAGACGGCGCCTTTGTGCAGGGCCCGCCGCCAGACCGCTGAGGCCCCAAGGACTCGTAATGCACCTCCTCCTCCTCCTCCTCCTCCTCCTCCACCTCCCCCTCCACATCGTCCAACCCCTCCTCCTCCTCCTCGTCCCGCCGTCGCTGCCAGAACCACTAGGGCACCGATCGGGAACGACCGACTGCGACACAGAGGGCCCGCTCGCTCCAGCGGGCCCCACCTCCTCTTCCTCCTCCTCCTCCTCTTCTGCCTCCTCCTCCTACTCCTCCTCCTCATCCTTCTCTTCTGCCTCCTCCGCCAACAAGCTGTGAATGTGCTGTCATCTTGCTCCCTCGCCCTTCCCACCTCCTGTTCCCCCTACCGCCTCCTCCTCATCGTCCTGCTCCTCCTCCTCCTCCTCCTCCTCCTCCTCTCCTCCTCCTCCTCCTCCTCCTCTGACATCATGATGCTTCACCGCAGCGCTTGCGTACACCACAACGCCTGTGTACACCACATCAGCCGCGTGCACAAGAGCGCCTGTGTACACCACAGTGCCTGCGTGCATCACTACGCCTGTGGACACCGCAACGGCTGTGCAAACTACAGCAGCCATGTGCACCGCAACGTACGCGTATGCCACAGCGCCTGCGTGCACCACAGCGCCCGTGTACACCGCAGTACACTGGCCCTGCGTGCACATCGATGCCTGCGTGCGCGGGAGCGCCTGCGTACTCCTGACAATTTCCTTTGGAAGCTGCAAAGGTTCACGCTTGCGCCCCGTTTGCAAGCGCTACTGTTATGAGAAGGGATTATGGGGGGGTAACACGTGTGGGATACAAAGAAGGTATCCCTTTGTTGCGCGGGTTTTGGGGGGTGGGCGAGGGGGTCAAATTCAAGCGAGTAAGCCGCTTCAGGCCAATGCTGGGGGCACGCACCCCCGTGGGCCCGCAGCAAAGGTCGATCCGGCCAAGGGTTACTCTTACCTGGAAGAGGAAGAGGAAGGCTGCCTGGAAGAGGAAGGCTGCCTGAGACTCCCGGCCCGAAGATCTGAAAAACTGAAGAGCTGATCTCCCTGGAAGAGGAAAGCTCCCTGGAAGAGCCGATCTCCCTGGAGAAGCTGATCTCCCTGGAAGAGGAAGGCTGCCTGAGACTCCCGGCCCGTACCGTCTGGGAAGGCGGGCCAGACCGTCCCAGAGCGCGGGGCCCCGCCGCACTGGCTGGCAGGATGCTGCCTGCAGACTGCGGAAAACGAGCGCTCACGATAAGAGCGACCTGGTGGCTCTGGCGAACATCCGCTCAGACTGAGCGGACGTGGACTGGAGTGACTGTGTGGCTGCCATGCTGACTGCTCGGGGGCGTCCTCCTGGTCATCTTGCGGCCCAGGCCTATGCCCAGCTGGAAGCCCATCAGACTGGCCAGGGTGTCCACCCTCTTATTCGCAAGTTTGAGGCTCTTGTGCATGCTGCACACGGTGTTGTGAATACGGCACAGGTCCAGGCTTCGCGCACCACCTTGGAGCCGGTACAGCGTTTTTGCGAAGGTGTCCTCGGAGATGACGCCAGTGCCCGAGGAATCGAAGAGGGTGAAGAGGACCTGGGTGCTCTGGAAGTCGAGGTCGATCCCGAACTCCTGCAAACAGGTCTGGGCCCTCTCGTCGGTGAACAGCCTTTCGATGTCGCTCCAATGAAGTACGCCCTCGTTATGGGTGTCGAGGATCTTGAACAGCTCCTTGGCGTTCCGGATCCAGATCGACTTCCTTTGTATGTTGTCAAGAATCCGAGTCGCTTCGTCGTCAGACACACGCTGAGCTGAATCGACAAAAATTCGCCAGCCCCCTGTCAGACAGACTGTCCAGTGGGGCCCCCGCGCTGTGAAAGTCACGCTGCAATGGTTTGAGTCACGGTTGTGCTGTGCACACGAAATTAATTGAAAATTCTAGCTCTATAGCTCAACTCTTTCTAAATTTCCCCGCGTCGGCCACTAGGACTGTGAACCTGCCCAGAGCAAACCGACGAACCTGGAAGAGCTTCCCAACAAGCACCCAAGGCGATACTAGAGAGCGCCGAGACGACCCTTGATTCTTTAAAAACAACCCACGGCCCAAGAGGCCCCCAACACGCCCCAACACACCCCAAGAAGCTCCAACAGTCCGCCCAAGAAGGCCCCAACAGGCCAAAATCATTGTTTCCCCCTTTGGCGCTATACGAATATGAGCGTTCTCGCTTTTTCGGGCTGCCGACCCTCCAAGGCGGCAAGAGGCCACCAGTAGGCCGCAAAAACGGCCCCAAGACTGCCCACGACACTCCGAAGACGTCCCAAGGGTCCTGAGGAGGAGCCCAAGATGGGGATGAACTGACATTTGGAGCCCGTCGCCCCAAGATGACTCCGAGACTTCGGCGCAAAAGAGGCCCCCAGAAACTTCCAAGAAACCCCACAACCCTCTCAACGCCCTGTTGGGTCGACGTGGACAACTATATATATAGAATGGCGAATATAACAATTATACTGGAAGGTCTATGATTACTAATAATAATAATAATAATAATAATAAATAGTAACAGTAATGCTAAACACTTGATTTACGATTGACGACAAGTAGCACGTCATGAATCAATGACGGCGAGCGCGGCGCCAATCTCCCCATAGCCCCACACCTTTGCTATCCAAACAGGATCGATTCAAAAATATCGTCGCGCTCTGGCCCCGCGACTGTTTGGAAATCCGCAAACTTTCCACAACAAACTCCCCACCTCTGCATGGTTCCACGCAGAATGTGCTGCGAGTGTCCTGTCATACTTCGAATGTTCGTCTGCTCGGCGACGGGACGGCACACACTTTTCAGTCGCCGGCGCAGAGGAGCCTCAGGCGCGCTCGGCAACGGGAGGTACCAATTGCGAACGAGCTCAGTCGAACGCGCCATGATGAAAGAGTCCGGGCACGGCCATGCAGATCGGTGGTGGACAAAAGGGAGGCACCGCAAAGCCAAGATGCAGCAGCCAAACATACCGCGCAACGAAAGCTCGACGCGGGCAGATTGAAGCGCAAACAGAAGTCTGGCGCGAAGTAAAACATCAAGGAAACAACGAAACGTAACTACATGGCTGCCAGACCAGCCAAGTTGGTGGCGGTGCGGTGCATACACGCAGGGACACTGCGCGACACGCAACGCCACCGACCGTGCAAGGGCAAGAACCACAGAAGGCGACCGCGCAACAAAATGCAAGAGGTCGACGTGACAATGATGATCACGCGGCCGAAGATGGCTTAACCTTGGACAACAAAAACAAAGCTGAACGCGGGCGACCGCGAGCAGCGACCGCGAAACGCGGCGGCACACAAGGGTGGTGGACGGGCGCGAGCATGGTCAACGCGCAGTGCAAACGCCAGCGTTTAAATTATTCCAGTGCGACCCTACCTAGGAGTTGGAGCCTCTAGGAAAGCAACATTAGCAGGAGCGGTAAACGCCGTCCTCCTCCTTCTCCTCACCGTCGTAGTTGTAGCAGTAGCGGTAGTAGTAGTAGTAGTAGTAGTAGTAGTAGTAGTAGTAGTAGTAGTAGTAGTAGTAGTGGTAGTAGTGGTAGTAGCGTAGTAGTAGTATAGTAGTAGTAGTAGTAGTAGTAGTAGTAGTAGTAGTTAGTAGTAGTAGTAGTATAGTAGTAGTAGTTAGTAGTAGTAGTAGTAGTAGTTAGTAGTAGTAGTAGTAGTAGTAGTAGTAGTAGTAGTAGTAGTAGTAGTAGTAGTAGTAGTTAGTAGTAGTAGTAGTAGTAGCAGTAGTAGTAGCAGCAGCAGCAGCAGCAGTCGTCGTCGTCGTCGTCGTCGTCGTCGTCGTCGTAGTAGTAGTAGTAGTAGTGGTAGTAGTGGTAGTAGTAGTAGTAGTAGAAGTAGTAGTAACAGCAGCAGCAGCAGTAGTAGTAGTAAAAGTAGTAGTAGTAGTAGTAGTAGTAATAGTAGTAGTAGTAGTAGTAGTAGTAGTAGTAGTGGTAGTAGTGGTAGTAGTAGCAGTAATAACAATAGTAGTAGTAGTAGTAGTAAAAGTAGTAGTAGTAGTAGTAGTAGTAAAAGTAGTAGTAGTAGTAGTAGTAGTAGTAGTAGTAGTCGTAGAAGTACCCAAATTCCTTGGACGTCCGCTGCTCTGTAAAAGACGTGCTCCCGTGTGTCAAAGTCTGGTTGTTCGCCCGCCTGAGTGAAGAGTCCTGCTAGTAGTTCCCTCGCGCCTTCGGTTGGCGTGAGGGGTGGTGCATCCGTGTCGACGATGTGGCGGTATACGACTTGATGCGCAAAGTGCATCAGAAGATCGGTATGGTGTTGACCGTTGAGCCAGCACTCTCCAGAAGACCCTTGGCATCTGGCAGGTCGGATCTGCTCCCATGCCAGAGCCACCGCTAGACACCATCCCATAAGTGGTGTGCGCTGTCTTCTCCGAAACCGCACAGGGGTCACGGTTCAATTCGCGATTCTAGAGGGACTGGCCCGACATCCTGTTGCATGGCTGCATTCTTCCTGTCGGCGTCGTTCTGTAAGGCGTGTGGACAGTATCCCGCCAATCCGTATCCGGGTCACACGGAGCGCGGCCGTGAAGCGGCGTGATACGCGCAGGAGTGCCCATTCCTGCGCCGCCCCCTCGTACACACATACACACAACGTCACCGCTCCTCTAGAGCACTGGCGTGGAGCGTATCACGCCTCTCGTCATGCGTGGAGCTGCTCCAGCTTCGGCGGTGGATAAACCTCCCTGTAGTGAACCTCCCCTTCGTGAAAACGGCCTGGGACCGAAGCCGACGGACCTGGACCCGCAAAATGACGGCCGCGACGCCCTCTCGCGAACCGAAGACGGCCAATCCTTAATCGACGTGTCAGGGCAGGAGGTCTATCCACCTCCGACAGCTGAAGCGTCACGCCACCGCCGAAATCTCAAACCGAAACGACAATCGACTCGTGCTTCCCCGGCCACGGCCCATCGCAAAATACGATGGGCCCCACCTCCCAGGGCCCCGATCCTTTGGAAGATGCGCTGGGCTCGCGCTCCGAGAGCCAAAATCATTTGTGCGTTGTAGAGGAAAGAGAACTATGCACATACACCGCTTCTGGCCAGGCCCATCCTGAGCCCAGGATCGGTGCATGCGCCCTCTTACCTTGGCCAGGCAGGTACATGCACCGATCCTGGGTCAAGGATGGACGTTGTCAGGACCGGTGCATGTGCATAGCTCTCTTCGCCCGATGTTGGGAGCCATGCTCCCAAGGCCATAATCACTTGTGAATAACTGAGGGCCCGCCTACAAAGGCAAGAACCCTGTATGATAAGACCACGACAGGACACCAAGTGAGTCTTACGGGCCGTGAGAGCCAGACGGCAACAAGTTACTTCAATACTGCCCTGGAAAGACGCCAGGAAGTTCCAGTACGCTGCGAAGAGCAGCAAGAAGGTCAAAATCCTACCCTTAGAGTGCCCAACTCAGACCCAATGGAACCCCAATGTATCAAATGTACTGAAGAAGTGAGGCCTCTGAAGGGTCCCGCAAATGGTCCCAAGAGGGTCGCAGAGATCCCATGAAGGTGAAACAAAGGAGTACCACGGGAATGAAGACGACGACGACGAAACGACGACGACCACGACCACGACGACGACCACGACCACGACGACGACGACGACGACGACGACGACGACGACGACGACGACGGCGGGGGATCCCTCGATGCCCTGGACAAGGGGGGGGGGCGGCGGCTGCGGCCAGGGCCCTTCGGATCGCCGTGATCACGTTCAGAACCACGAAGACCGCCAGCATGACGTACACGCAGAAGGCGAAGGTGACCAGAGGGCTGATCTCTGCCAGGTCGTCGGAGACGTCGCCCCAGGAGGAGCCGCCAGACATGGCCTTGAACAGGGTGTACATGCCTCCAGGGAGCGAGTCGAAGTTCTTCAGGATGTTGCACTCCGCCGCCGTGGCATAAGGGCAGTCCGAGCTGGGGGTCGCCCCATGCACCAGCACGTTATCAGAATCCTGGAGGTGTGCGAAGCCAGACTGCAGGAAGACCACGGCAAAGGTATAGGTCATGATTGCAATTAGCAACGATGCCCAGAGCAACGACTTGCCGCAATTCATGATCCCAGATACCATGATGCGGAGCTCACGGAAGAAGCGCAAGACTCTGATCACACGCAACGCGCGCACCAGTCGGAGCACGCGGACTACACGGACCGAGGACAAGCGGGTGCGCCTGGTGGAAAAGGCCAGCGCAGCGATCTCTTCTGCGATAGACGACCCCACGATCAGAGAGTCGAAGACGTTCCACCCGAAGCCCTTGTTCCTCCAGTGGAAGAAAGAAATACCTTCAGTGGCGACGCGCAGTGCGATTTCCAGGATAAACACGAGCGCGAACGTCCTGTTGATCCACATCCACACTGGCAAGTCCTCGCTCACAGCTTGCTCGCCGTGGTGGCGCATGTCCCAGTCTGCTTGGTAGCCGATAGCAGAAGAAGAAACAACTACATACACATAAACTGTCAGATGTCCGCGCGGGTTTCTCTGATCCGTGTCGGACTCAGTCCCTGGCGGCGCAGGAGGCGCCACTTGCGAGGTCCAGCACAAGTGCAACATACCCAGGGACGCACCCAACCCTGTTCTGAAAATTTGGCGGTTATACCAAAGACCGCTCAATACAAACGACCATGTTGAAAAAGCCGCAATGCAAAGAAGCAACCACCAGTGAAGCAAGAAGAGCACGGCAGCGAAAAGTATGACAACCACCCGAAAATGGAGACAAAGGGGCGCTGTGGGACAACCGCCCAACAAGTTAAAAACAAAACGTCGCGGCTTCGAAAGCAACGAGAAACACCAAAAACACAAAAGCTGCAACACAAAAAGACAAGGCACTGCGAGGAACCAGAAGCGCGCAAAAGAGAAGAAAAACGGGGCAGTAGGAAAAGCATTCAAACATGGAAACAAATGAACGCGGCAACGAACGTGACGAGAAGCATCTGGACGTGGAAACAAAACGGTACCGTAGGAAAACACGTGCGCTTCAACCATAGAAGCGAAGGGGTGCGACAGCGACCACAAAGTTAAGCACTCGAAGGAAAAAACACAAGGGCGCGACAGCAAACATATGCACAAACCTGCAGAAGTGGAGACAAGAGGGCGCGGTAGGAACAGCTAGCAAAAGTAAAACCAAAGGGGCGCGGCAGCGACAGCAACAAGACGCCCGACAAAAAAAATGCGAAAAAAGGCGCGGCATCGAGAGTAACCAGAAGCACAACAAAGTAAGAAAAAAGGCGCGGCAGCGAAAGCAGCGAGAAGCCTCCAGTAGCAAGGGCGCGGCAGCGACAGCAACGAGAACACACATTTAACGGGAAACGGAAAGGCGCAGCGGCGAGAGTCACAAGGAGCATCGAGAAGCAACAGGGGACGGAGACAGAAGCATGCGGATGAGGATGAAGGTTGGAAAGGTTCAGAGACAGCGACAGCGCCGCGCGCTACATCCGCGGGACAGAACAGCGCGACGCGCGCTATCACAGGTCAGCGCGCTGCGCTGAGCGAGAAAGATGCACAAGGTGCATGGCGGGCCCAGGGCACCTGAGAAGAAGATGCCACGCGGACCTAGAAAAACAGCGCCATGCACTGCGTATTCCCCCACTCCGCTGGGCCTCCCCAGAACCCACAAAAATGGCGACGGTTGCGCACATCGCAGCCCCCCAGGGAGCTGCGAGGTACCGGCTGGGTCTGCGTACTCCTCCACTCCACCTGGGCCTCCCAGGAGCCCACGAAGGTGGCGACGGCTGCGCAACTCGCAGCCCCCCAGGGAGCTGCGAGGTCACGGCTGGGTCTGCGTACTCCTCCACTCCTCTGGGCCTCCCAGGAGCCCACGAAGGTGGACACGGTTGCGTGCTTCGCAGCCCCCCAGGGAGCTGCGAGGTCCCGGCTGGGTCACGTACTCCTCCACTACGCTGGGCCTCCCAGGAGCCCACGAAGGTGGACACGGCTGCACAATTCGCAGCCCCCCAAGGAGCGGCGAGGTCCCGGCTGGGTCTACGTACTCCTCCACTACGCTGGGCCTCCCAGGAGCCCACAAAGGTGTCGACGGCTGCGCAATTCGAAGACCACCAGGGAGCTGCGAGGTCCTGGCTGGGTCTGTGTACTCCTGCACTCCGCTGGGCCTCCCAGGATCCCACGAAGGTGGCGACGAATCCACACTTCGCAGCGGGGGAGGAGGAGGCGGAGGAGGAGGATGAGGAGGAGGCTGGGTCTGCGTACTCCTCCACTCCTCTGGGCCTCCCAGGAGCCCACGAAGGTGGACACGGTTGCGTGCTTCGCAGCCCCCCAGGGAGCTGCGAGGTCCCGGCTGGGTCACGTACTCCTCCACTACGCTGGGCCTCCCAGGAGCCCACGAAGGTGGACACGGCTGCACAATTCGCAGCCCCCCAAGGAGCGGCGAGGTCCCGGCTGGGTCTACGTACTCCTCCACTACGCTGGGCCTCCCAGGAGCCCACAAAGGTGTCGACGGCTGCGCAATTCGAAGACCACCAGGGAGCTGCGAGGTCCTGGCTGGGTCTGTGTACTCCTGCACTCCGCTGGGCCTCCCAGGATCCCACGAAGGTGGCGACGAATCCACACTTCGCAGCGGGGGAGGAGGAGGCGGAGGAGGAGGATGAGGAGGAGGAGGGGGAGGAGGAGGAGGAAGAGGAGGAGAAGGAGGAGGAGGAGGAGGAAAAGGAGGACGACGCGGAAAGGGAGGAGGAAGAGGAGGAAGAGGAGGAGGAAGGGAGGAGGAAGGGGAGGAGGAGGAGGAGGAGGAGGAGGAGGAGGAGAGGAGGCGGGAGGGGAGTATGAGGAGAAAGTAGGAGAGGAGGAGGAGGAGAGGAGGAGGAAGAGGAGGAGGACGGGAGAAGGACGCAGGGGGGGGAGAAGGAGGTGGAAAGGAGGAAAAGGAGGAGGAGGAGGAGGGAAAGAGGAGGAAGAGGAGGAGGAGGAGGAGGAGGAGGAGGAGGAGGAGGGAGAGGCGAGGACGAGGAGAGGACGAGGACGAGGGAACGAAGACGAGGACGAGGAGGAGGGAGGAGGAGGAGGAGGAGGAGGAGGAGGAGGAGGAGCGAGGAGGCACGGTAGGAGGAGGAGGGGGGGGGTAAGGAGGAGGAGGAGGAGGAGGAGGAGGAGGAGGAGGAGGAGGAGGAGGAGGAGGAGATGTCAGGAGGAGGAGGAGGAGGAGAAGGAGATGGCAGAAGGATGGGGACATGGAGGAGTAGAGGAGAGAGGCGAGGTGAGGGAGGGTTTCGAATTTCCCAGGCGACGTACCCAGCCCCTGCGCAATGCGGGGCATGAGTGGCTTGGACGACTTTAAGGGGGTGATGACGAGACATGGAAGTATGTATTTCTGCGACCAGCAGTTGTGAGGTCCCATTGGAGTCCGCCGCGGGGCCCCGCTCTGCTGGCCCCCCTAGCAGGCCTCGAAAGTGGCGACAGTTTCATAGATCGCAGCACCACAGGGATGGCGAGGTCACGTTTGAATCTGCGTAGCACATCACTATGCTGGACCCCCCAGCAGCCCTCGCAAGTGGCGACATGTCCACAGATCGCAGCCCCAGAGGGGTGGCGAGGTCCCATTTAAATCTGCGTAGGACGTCACTGTGCTGGGCCCCATAGCAGCCCTCGAAAGTGGCGACAATTTCGCAACACCACAGGGATGGCGAGGTCCCATTTAAATCTGCGTAGGACGTCACTGTGCTGGGCCCCATAGCAGCCCTCGAAAGTGGCGACAATTTCGCAACACCACAGGGATGGCGAGGTCCCGTCTGGGTCTGCGTAGGACGTCACTGTGCTGGACCCCCCAGCAGCCCTCGAAAGTGGCGACAGTGTCACAGATCGCAGCACCCCAGGGATGGCGAGGTCCCTTTTGGGTCTGCGCAGGACGTCACTGTGTTGGACCCCCCTGCAAGCCTCGAACGTGGCGACAGTTTCACAGATCGCAGCACCACAGGGATGGCGAGGTCTAATTTGGATCTGCGCAGGACATCACTGTGCTGGACCCCCCAGCAGGCCTCGAAAGTGGCGACAGTGTCACAGATCGCAGCCCCCGTGGGGTGGCGAGGTCACATTTGAATGTGCGCAGGGCGTCACTATGCTAGACCCCCCAGCAGCCCTCGAAAGTGGCGATTGTTTCACATATCGAAACCCCCCAGGGATGGCGAGGTCCCGTTTGGGTCTGCGTAGGACGTCACTAGACTGGACCCAGCAGGTCTCGAAAGTGGCGACAATTTCACAGACCGCAGCCCCCCAGGGATGGCGAGGTCACGTTTGGGTCTGCGTAGGACGTCACTGTGCTAGACCCCCCAGCAGCCCTTGAAAGTGGCGACAATTTCACAAATCGCAGCACCACAAGGATGACGGGGTCCCGCTTGGGTCTGCCTCGGACGTCACTGTGCTGGACCCCCCAGCGGCCCTCGAAAGTGACAACAGTTTCACAGATCGCAGCCTCCCCAGGGATGGCGAGGTCCAAATTTGAGTCTGCGTAGGACGTCACTGTGATGGACCCCCACAGCAGGCCTCGAGAATGGCGACAATCTCACAGATTGCAGCCCCCCAGGATGGCGGGGT